GGAGGCGTAAACAACTGCCCCACATAATCAACTAAACGAAATATGAAAAAAGGTATGGAAACCCCATAGCAGAACGACTGCCTTCTTAGAGGCCTCCTACATGGGGTCGGAGTAGATGGGGTCGGAGGATCGCGCCGCATCGCCGATACATCGGCGATACATCGCCGATGCATCGGCGACGAGTCGGCGACGTCGGCGATGCATCGGCGACGTGGGCGTAAGATAAAATCGGGCTCCACATCGAGCCGCATCGCCGATGCATCGACGATGCATCGGCGATGCGGCGCGATCCTCCGATCCCATCTGCTCCGACCCCACCTGGGAGGCCTAAACCATCGCAGGACGACTGCCTTCTTGGTCTGGTCCCTCACCCCCTCCTCCAGCCCGCCACAGAGCCCCGGCAGCCGCTGCGGGCTGCGACCCAGGGGGACCCAAACCTCCGGCGCTGTGTTTTCGTACTCTTGTCTCTGGCCAGGGAGCAGTCTCCGGGGATAGAGGCCTCCCAGATGGGGTCCGAAAATTTGGGGTAGGAGGATCTCACTGCATCGCCGACACATCGGCGATGCATCGGCCATGCACTGGCGACGTCAGTGTTGCATCGGCGACGTCGGCGTGGAGAAAATTGGGCCCCACATCGATCATCGAGCCGCATCGCCGATGCATCGGCGATGCTGCGCGATCCTCCGACCCCGTCTACTCCGACACCATCTAGGAGGCCTACGTAGACGGGAGCTCTGGGACCAACCCATGGGCCGTTGTTGTCTCGTCCCGGTCCGCTGATTGCAGGCCCTTGGGCCCGAGCGTGCCCCAAAGCTTACGTAGCACCCCGCAGTCGCGGATAAGAGTGAGGGGGCGGCGGGGCCGTCGGCAGTCTGCGAGGCTCTGAAGAAGCCCGCTGCAGGCGTTTAACTTTTACCAATTATACGACGAGCCCGCCGCAGGCGCCGATTTTCGTTAAAGCAATGTGGGTGGGTCGCGGGTGGGTCGCGGATGGGCCGTGGGTGGGTCGCGGGCGGGTCGCTGGGTGGGTCGCGGGTGGGTAGCGGGTGGGTCGCGGGGTGGGTCGCGGGGTGGGTCGCCGGGTGGGTCGCGGGTGGGTCGCGGGCGGGTTGCGGGGTGGATCGCGGGTGGGTCGTAGGCCGGGTCGCAGCGGGGACGACGCCTAACAACAACAACAACAACAACAACAACAACAACAACAACAACAACAACAACAACAACAACAACAAAAACAACAATCACTTTACCCGAACGCTCAGTGTTCTCACCAGTGCCAGGGTTTTCATGCGACGCCAGCCAATACCCCCACTTTGTGGGGGGGCAGTGCAAGCTCTACCAAATATCCACACGACTCTTCGCCACCACCCACACCCAGCTTCCCGCCCTATGACGTTCGGACACTTCACTTCGTGGCCTGCGGACGACCGTGGCTACTACACTGGCGTGGAGTACACACCCACAGAAGTTGTTAAGCCTACGTTCGTACACCCACAGAAGTTGTTAAGCCTTGTTAACCCACAGAAGTTGTTAAGCCTTCCACAGAACATCTGTTGCATATGATGCATATGGTACATGATACACATGATACACATGATACGTACTCACAAGGCCGAGGGCGCAACCTATGGCGCAACCGCAAGGGATTGTGGCCCCTGGCAGGCGCGCGAACCCCGTTGCAAGAGCGTGCGAAAGTAGCTCGCGCGACCTCTTGCGACCTCGCGTGCGAAAGTAGCTCGCGCGACCATTGGTTTTTTTAGGATTCGGACAGCGCGCGCGGGTGGAAATTTTGAAAAGTCGTGCAGGTGTTTTTCGAGGACCTACGGTGCGATTCGTGTGATTTATGATGCGCGGTGCTAAAATTCTTAAGAAGCCCAATGGTTTTTGGAGATTTCGGCGTGCGCGCGCGAAGAAAAAACGAATGTGTCCCGCATGGTATTATTTGACAGGGATGATGGCCCTGGCAGGTGCGCAACCGTTGTCGCAGAAGTTCGAAAAAGTTGCTCGCAAAAGCCCGTTTGACAGAAATGTTTAAAAAGTGTTGGTTTTCCTACGAATCGCAAGAGCGCGCGGGATGAGATTTTGACATTTTTTTTTGAAAAACCATTGGTTTTTTGATGTTTTTATGTTAAAATCGCTCCGAACACTAAGCTTTTGGAAGGATTTCGTCTTGCGCGCGCGAATGTCCACTTTACCTTATTTTTTGCAAGGGATTCTTGAAATTTGATTATATTAGAACAAGAAATGTCATTTTATAGTGTTTTTTGCAAGGGAAAACGGATTACAACAAAACAACCGGATCTTGATGACATCGTATTACCTGAGGCTTCCTCACGAAAATGATGAAAATGTAGCTGCGGCCTAGGCGGCGCAGGGGGGCCGTGCACCAGGGGTCCCAACAATAATTATTCTTTAGAATTAATAATGTTCAACAACAACAACAACAACCACAACCACAACCACAACCACAACCACAACCACAACCACAACCACAACAACAACAGCAGCATCAACAACACCAACAACACCAACAACATCAACAACGACAGCCTCAACACCAACCAACACAACAACAACACCAACAACAACAACAAGAACAACATCACCAACAACAACAATAACCATTATAAGACTGTTCGCTCCTATCTGCTCACTTGCCAACCAATACGTACATCCCAAACCCTCGGTATCTGCCCTCGTCGTCTTCGATCGTACCCCCTTGGGGGTATATCTTCTTTACCTGCCACGTGCATCTAGTCATCCCCTAAAACAAGGGAAGAGAGGACGGGTGGAAGGGGGAGGGAGAAGAATGGAGCACGAAAGAAATTAACAGGACGGGGGCAAGGAGCAGAACCAGACGGGCAAATCGGGTGGGCAGACCCATGGCGGGCAGGTTGGAAGGCGGACCCAGGCGACGAGGTCGAGCAGGCGGGTTGCTGAAGCGTGGGTCATGCATGAATCGCGAGGAAGACTCGAGCGATAGCGCGATGCCCTAGTAATTCGTGAGGAAAGCTAAAGCGAGAGCGTGATTCCTGAGCGCTGAGGGCGCATCGTCTGAATAAAGTGCGAGGAAGTCCCACGCGAGAGCGCGATGCTTACATGAATTGTGAGGAAGCCCCGCGCGAGATCGCGACTTGGGAATACATTGTGAGGAAGTATCAGGCGAGAGCCATTGTTGTAGTAAACCGGGGGCCAGGGGCCCTGTTTTTGAGCCCCGTGACTTTCCCTGATAAAAAATAAAGTGCGAGCCCGAGGGGAAGCACTTCAATTGGACAAAAAAAGCCATGGTCATTGGAGGGGGAATCAACGATAATTATTTGTCAGTAGTGAGAGTTCAACAACAACAATAACAGCAACAACAACGGCAACAACAGCAAAGTCAACAACAACAACAACAACAACAACAAGTACTAGCACGTGAAAACACTCCGTTCTCACCAGTGCCAGGGTTTTCATAGGAGGCGGGCAATACCCCCACTTTGTGGGGGGGCCGGTTCAAGCTCTACCAAATTTCCAAACGACTCTTCGCCACCACCCACACCCAGCTTCCCGCCCTATGACGTTCGGACACTTCACTTCGTGGCATGCGGACGACCGTGGCTACTATTCAGGGCCCCGCGGCCGACGACGACGGCGTGCGCGCGCGAAGAAAAAACGAATGTGTCCCGCATGGTATTATTTGACAGGGATGATGGCCCTGGCAGGTGCGCAACCGTTGTTGCAGAAGTTCGAAAAAGTTGCTCGCAAAAGCCCGTTTGACAGAAATGTTTAAAAAGTGTTGGGTTTCCTACGAATCCGCAAGAGCGCGCGGGATGAAATTTTGACATTTTTTTTTGAAAAACAGTTTTTTTTTTTTTTTTTTTTTTTTTTTTTTTTTTTTTTTTTTTTTTTTTTTTTTTTTTTTTTTTTTTTTATGTTTTTATGCTAAAATCGCTACGAAAACTAAGGTTTTGGAAGGATTTCGTCTTGCGCGCGCGAATGTCCACTTTACCTTATTTTTTGCAAGGGATTCTTGAAGTTTGGTTATGTTAGAACAAGAAATGTCCACTTTAGCTTATTTTTTGCAAGGGAAAACCGATCGTAACAACACAACCGGATCCGGACTCCCCCGTTTTGCCTGAGACTTCCTCACGAAAATGATGAAAATGAGGCTGCGGCCTAGGCGCGGCGGGGGGGTCGTGCACCAGGGGCCCCAACAATAATAATTATTCTTTAGAAGTAATAATGTTCAACAACAACAACAAGAAGAGCAACAACAACGACACCAACAGCAACACCAACAGCAACACCACCACCAACAACAACAACAACACCATCACCAACAGCAACAACAACAATAACAACAACAACAACAACAACAACAACCGCAACAACAATAACAACACCAAACAAACAAACAAACAAACAAACAACAACAAGACTCCGCATCGCGGAATCCCACTTCAGCCACGCACCCAGGGACAGTGAATGACCGTTCGGTCCCCTCACTCTGATAACACTGTTATTGGGAGGCCGGGGGTTTCGAAAGGCAGCGCCACAGCCCCTCGGTACCCGTGCCAATCTCGCCGGATCCGAGCTGCGGAGAACTGGTTCTGCGCGCAGGGCCAGCCACCGAGTGAGGTTGCCTGTCGGCGGTAGTGCTCATGGATGCCTGTTGGTCGTGGAGTCCTGGGTCAGCACCGCATCGGGAGTGCCTCGGAGTCCCAGCGGCGGGAGCGTGGCGTCGTGGCTCCACGGCACGGCCATGGTGGCATGATGGATATGCCAGCACGCATCCCGATTCCTCGTGCCCCTCCTCCTCCCCCTCCTCGCAGACAAACTTCTCCACCCTCCTCGACGAACAGGGCTCACTGGCGCGGACGACGCCCAGCAAAAAAGATCGTCGGCCAGAGCGAACAACAAAGCGAAGATCAATGAGCACCTCAGATACAGGCAAACGATCACACCTTGTCCGTTCTCATCCGTCCTCCTGCCATTCCCCTTCTCTCCCCAAAACTCTGGGCGTGTCCGCCGCCACCATCACGTCGAACTCTGGCTGGGACTTCTCGTTCGTCACGAACCCCAGCCCCGTCGGGAGGTTGTCGAAGAAGCCCTCCTTCTCGGGCTCCTCCTGGCCGCGGCGGGAGGGTGAGGAGAACAATTATCGTGTTGGGAGGAAGGGCTTGGGAGGATGCAGGGTACGAATAATAGCATTCGGACTCAATGCTCGACACCTTCGACCGCCTACTGGTAATGGTATCCTCATTTCTCCTAACCCCATCCTCTAAACCCGATAACTGTCTTCCCGAGGGCGGGCGAGGACAGCGAACAGAAAGAGAGCCCGAGGAGGCGAGCCCGGACCGACAGAGCACCTCTGGCCCGACGCTGCGCCAACCTCTGGGCCACGAGGTGGCGGCTCGCCAGCGCTCGGACGTCCACTCCCCGTGCACTTGTCGCAGGATGCTCCAGGCTGCTCCTCAGTGACCCGTGGCGAGAACATGGTCGACGTACGAACCCGGAAAGGAATCTAGAAATGTAAGGCATGACACCTGATTGGGCAACGGGCACAACCAATGCTGAATGTATCGATCTTGATGTACCGTGCCGAGGGCTGTGCTGTGCTGCGCCGTGCAACATTGCGAGGTGCCATGCCGCGATTGATAGCGTTGTGGATCGAGTCCACCTTTGCATCCGAGTCCTGAACGAACTGATCTGGATCTGAATCTCGAGCTACCTGGGCACATAGTAGCTGCCCAGAGTCGGGGCCCAGAGCTAATAGCTAATTGACAGGGGAGCATGCCAGGAGGACGCGCCGCGAAACGTCCCAAGGGATGCGCCAGGGGACGTGCCAGGGGACGTGCCACGGGGACGCACCGCAGGACGTGCCAAGGGGACGCGCTACGGAACGTGCCAATGGACGTGCCGCGGGACGTGCCAGGGGACTCGCCGCGCGACGTGCCAGGGGGACTCGCCACAGGACGCGCCACAGAACGCGCCAAGAAACGGGCAAAGTTGCAATGCTGAGTGTATCGATCGTGATGTACCGTGCCGAGGGCTGTGCTGTGCTGCGCCGTGCTGAATTGCGATATGCCATGCCGCAATTGTGCTCTATAGCGTTGTGGATCGAGTCCTCCTTTGCATCCGAGTCCTGACCGAACTGATCTGGATCTTAATCTCGAGCTGCCTGAGCACACAGTAGCTGCCCCAGAGCTACTTGACAAGGGGGCCATGCCAGGAGGACGCCCCGCGGAACGTCCCAACGAACGCGCAGGGCGAGGTGCCAGGGGACGCCACGGAACGTGCCAGGGAACGCGCCGAGGGATGTGCTGTGCTGCGCCGTGCAACATTGCGAGGTGCCATGCCGCGATTGTGCTCTATAGCGTTGTGGATCGAATCCTCCTTTGCATCCGAGTCCTGACCAAACTGATCTGGATCTTAAGCTCGAGCTGCCTGAGCACATCGTAGCTGCCCCAGAGCTGCTTGACAAGGGGGCATGCCAGGAGGACGCGCCGCGGAACGTCCCAAGGGACGCGCTAGGCGACGTGCCAGGGGACGTGCCACGGGGACGCACCGCGGGACGTGCCAAGGGGACGCGGTACGGAACGTGCCAATGGACGTGCCGCGGCACGTGCCAGGGGACGCGCCGCGCAACGTGACAGGGGGGACCCGCCACGGGACGCACCACGGAACGTGCCAGGTTGCAATGCTGAATGTATCGAATGCGATGTACCGTGCCGGGGGCTGTGCTGTGCCTGGGCGACCTGGACACGTGACAATAAGCGTTTCGCTCAAGACATTCTCGACACATCCTCATGCACTTCACTTGAGAGATCCTCTGGGTTCTGGTCCCCACGAGAGGACAATCGAGAACACATTCGCTTGGCGAAGGGCCCAACCATATGCAGTTGTGAGTACCGTCTTTGTGAGCAACGCATTCGGTGGGGTTCCCTATGGGGCCACGAAGCGCTGCCCTGGGTGGGGAGACGCATGCGAATGCAGCCACTGGGGCCTTTGGTGGAGCTCCCCATGGGGCCATGAAGCGCTGCCCTGGGTGGGGGGAGCCTGCGGGCACCCCCACTGGGGCCTTCCGTGGAGCTCCCTATGGGGCCACGAAGCGCTGCCCTGGGTGGGGGGAACCGCATGCGGGCACCCCCACTGGGGCCATCGGCGGAGCTCCCTATGGGGCCACGAAGCACTGCCCTGGGTGGGGGAACCGCATGCGACCCCCCACTGGGGCCATCGGCGGAGCCCCGTATGGGGCCACGAAGCGCTGCCCTGGGTGGGGGAACCGCATGCGACCCCACCCCCACTGGGGCCATCGGCGGAGCTCCCTATGGGGCCACGAAGCGTTGCCCTGGGTGGGGGAACCGCATGCGACCCCCCCCCCCACTGGGGCCATCGGCGGAGCTCCCTATGAGGCCACGAAACGCTGCCCTGCGTAGGGGAACCGCATGCGACCCCCCCCACTGGGGCCATCGGCGGAGCTCCCTGTGGGGCCACGAAGCGCTGCCCAGGGTGGGGGAACCGCACGCGACCCCCCCTCTGGGGCTATCGGCGGCTCAACAAATGGGGACACGGAACGCTGCCTTGGGTGGGGGAACCGCATGCGACTCCCCCACTGGTGCCTTCGGTGGAGATCCGTAGGGGGCCTCGAAGCGCTGCCCTGGGTGGGGGAACCGCATGCGACCCCCCCCCCACTGGGGCCATCGGCGGAGCTCCCTATGAGGCCACGAAACGCTGCCCTGCGTAGGGGAACCGCATGCGACCCCCCCCCACTGGGCTCCCTATGGGGCCACGAAACGCTGCCCTGCGTAGGGGAACCGCACGCGACCCTCCCCACTGGGGCCATCGGCTGAGCTCCCTATGGTGCCACGAAGCGCTGCCCTGGGTGGGGGAACCGCATGTGACCCCCCCCCTGCTGGAGCCATCGGCGGAGCTCCCTGTGGGGCCACGAAACGCTGCCCTGGGCTGGGGAACCGCATGCGACCCTCCCCCACTGGGGCCATCGGCGGAGCTCCCTATGGGGACACGAAGCGCTGCCCTGGGTGGCGGAAAGCATGCGACCCCTCCCCCACTGGAGCCATCGGCAGAGCCCCCTATGGGGCCACGAAACGTTGCCCTGGGTGGGGGGACCGCGTGCGACCCCCCCCCACTGGGGCCATCGGCGGAGCTCCCTATGGGGACACGAAACGCTGCCCTGGGTGGCGGAAAGCATGCGACCCCTCCCCCACTGGGGCCATCGGCAGAGCTTTCTATGGGGCCACGAAACGTCCTGGGTGGGGGAACCGCATGCGACCCCCCCACTGGTGCTTTCGGTGGAGATCCGTATGGGGACACGAAGCGCTGCCCTGTGTGGGGGAACCGCATGCGACCCCCCCCCACTGGGGCCTTCGGTGGAGCTCCTTATGGGGCTACGAAACGTGTGAGAGGCGTGCCGAGAGAAGAGGCAAGGAGGGGGAGGAGGGAGGAGGGAGAGGAGCGGGAGGAGGAAGGAAGGAGACGCGGGGCACCGTCTCTTCAAAACGAGGACCCAACACCACAGGATGGTTGGGACAAACAAGCGTTTCGCTCGAGACATCCTCAACACAATCTGCAAAACAAGCGTTTCGCTCGGGACATCCTCACATTTTATTTCGCCGGCCCTCTTCGACCTTATCATTTATCGCAAAAAATCAGCCAGCCCTCTTCGAACTTGGCACCGGGGACAGGTTTACCTACCGAAGGAGAGCCCTGGGCCTAAACCCTTTCCAGGAATTACGCTGCGTCCGCGCTCCCAGGGCCACGTAGCCCAGTACATTACGCTGTGTCCGCCCTCCCAGGGCCACGATCCCTCGTAAATTAAGCTGCGTCCGCGCTCCCAGGGCCAGGATACCTCGTGAACTACGCTGCGTCCGCGCTCCCAGGGCCACGATCCATGGTAAATTACGCTGCGTCCGCTCTCCCTGGGCCACGACCTTTTGTAAACTACGCTACGTTCGTCCGCGCTCCCCGGAAACGCGCTCCCAAGACCAGGATCCCTTGTAAATTACGCGGCGTCCGCGCCCCCCAAGCCACGATCCGTTGTAAAGTAAGCTGCGTTCGCGCTCCCAGGGCCAGGATCCCTTGTAAATTACGCTGCGTCCGCGCTTCCAGGGCCACGATCCCTCGTAAACTACGCTGCGTCCGCGCTCCCAAGCCCACGATCCCTCGTAAAATACGCTGCGTCCGCTCTCCCTGGGCCACGATCCGTTGTAAACTACGCTGCGTCCGCGATCCCAGGGCCACGATCCCAAGGCATCCCACGCTCCCAAGGCCGCGATCCCTCGCAAAATATATTGGATTTGCGCTTCCAAGGCCACGATCCCTCGTAAAGTACGCGGCATCCGCGCTCCCAAGACCAGGACCCCTTGTAAATTACGCGGCGTCCGCGCTCCCAAAGCCGCGATCCTTTGTAAATTACACTGGGTTTGCTCTCCCAACCCCCCTGGGCATCCTGGAGCGCCCAAGCCCGTCAAATGTTGCAAAACGCGTGTTTCGCTCGAGACATCCCCAACATTTCTGCGCGCAGGACGCGCCATCCTCGAGCGGGCACGCAAAAAGTCAACATGTTTCACATTTGTTGTCCCGGCCGGGGCTCCAGACCTAGGTTTTTCTGAAGGATTCAACAAAAATACCCCGCACCCTTTCTTATAAGGGATCCGAGATGGGGGGCGCTCTTTCCTCGAGCGGGTACGCGCGAAACGCATTTCTTCCACGCCGAATCGGACTTCACCTCGTTTTTCATCGAACGGGAATCCGCTGCCCCCCCCTAGGGGGCTTACAAAACTAAAGAGAACCCTGAGCCGGAGCCCTTTCCGGGAAAAAGCGAGCCATCCCAATCACCAATTAAAATCGTCATTCGGCCGATTCCAGAAACTCTGAATCCAAACAAATTGCATCTCATTGGAGTCGCATCTTTTGCCTACGCCGCCTTCCGCCGAGCTTCCGCCGCCGGAGCCGCCCTCGTCTTACTTCTGCCGCGTTCCGCCTTCCTTCCTGCCGCCTTCCGCCGAGGAAGCGATGGCACCTTCTTCGATCCTCGAAGGTGAGGCCATTTCAGGAACGCATCAATTTCTGGGGGGTGAAGGAGGAGGACAGATACGGGAATGAAGCGAGACGCACCTCTGCGATGCCGAATGCAAAAACCCTGCAATGGCCCCAGACTCGGGACTCGGGCAGAGGGGGTGAAGAGGAAGAGGGAGGAGGAGGTTCTCTTCCGTCAGCAGGGTAGCCCTGTCGTCGTCGGTCCTCACACCTTCGACGACGAGATTGGCTTCAGGCGCGCCCCGCCTCTCCTTTCCTTTGCTGGCCACATGGTTCATGCATCTCGGTACGGAGGGATGTGCCCAGTACCGCTGAAGGTCGCTGAAGGTCGAGGAGGAGGAGGAGGAGGAGAAGGAGGAGGCTCGGGATCGTCCTTTGTTGTGCCGTGCGGTGGCCATCCCGAGGCGGCCCTCGCCTTTCCTGAAGGCGGAGGGGGGCTCCCGTGGTCCGCCCGGAGGCGCCGCCAAGCATGCCAACAATATCGCTGGGGGGTAACTGCTTGCTCACCAAATAATACGAACACCGTCGCCCCGCCCTGGCCCGTCCAAGCTGGCCGACTCTTGAAACCCTGACCCAACACATGGCGGTGTTCGGAAACCCTGAACCCCCAAACCTTGCCATCTCTCGGGGAGGGGGGGGGGCGTTAACTTCCGCCAGCCTTCCGCAAACTTCCGCCGCGGAGGCGGCCTCGTTTTACTTCAGCGGGCTTCCGCCGCCTTTCCGCCGCTTCCCGCCGAGGATATCCTCGAGCGCGAGGGCCTTTCCGGAGGGCGCCACATGCCGAGACCCCCGACGATCATGATTTCTTCATAACGTCGAGGCCCCTTCCCTGGGACCGGCTTTTCATCCTGAGTCGTTTTTGGGACGGTCCCGTCGCCCGGTAAGGGCCTGCAGAGGCCGACCATAGCAGAAAATCTCCCGTCGTGATTTCTTCATGACTCGAGGGGGTCTGGGTAATGCCGACGTGTCGATCTTACTTCCGCCACCTGCGGGGCCTTGCGCACTCGCCCGGGTCAGTGCAGCCCTGGCTCTGAAGGGTCCTGCAAGATCCATCGCTCTGGCTGACCCCCGTTTGCGTTGACCCCCGTCCCAAGGCTCCCGAGCCTGTCTGGAGCGCGCCATCAAATACCGACGTGTCGTTCTCACTTCTGCCACCTTCCGCCGTCCTTCCACGTGCGGCCAAGAGGTGATCCAAGATGCTCCTCGATGGTCCTCGCTGAGATAAAACGCACACGTCCGACGTCGTCGCCGTCGCCGCCGTCGTCGTCGTCGTCGTCGGAGTCGTCGTCGAATCCCGGGGCTCGGTATACTTAAAGCGCGCCCCAAAAACCGAAAACTGAGAAAAACTGCCCGGGAGGAAGTCTGGGCCCAGGGGTACAGCCGGCCCGTATCATAAGGATGCGCGATCAGCTTTTCGAGCGGGCCGCGGCGAACGAAAGTGGCCAAGGATGGGCCGAGGAGGCAAGGATGCAAGGGTGCCCTCGGGAAGGTTGCCCATGCCTACTACGTTGTTCGACTGTACAAGACCCCCCCCCGCGGGTCTCTCCTTGGGTGCCTTCCGGCCGCTATTTTTCGAGGCGGAACCTCCCACACGCCCAGAACGGGACAAGGAGAGCCACGAACCCAGTCGATCCCTCTCCCTCTGCCCCTCCTCCTCCTCCTCCTCCTCCTCCTCCCTCCTCCTCCTCCTCCGTGTCCTGCTGCTGCGTGCCTCCCCCTCCTCCTCCTCTTCCTCCTAGTACTCTTCATCCTCCTCCTCCTCCTCCTTCTCCTCCTCCCCCTCCTCCTCCACCTCCTCCTCCTCCTCCTCCTCCTCCTCCTCCTCCTCCTCCTCCTCCTCCTCCTCCTCCTCCTCCTCCTCCTCCTCCCCCTCCCCTCCCCCTCCCGCTCCTCCTCCTCGTCCTCCTCCTCCTCCTCCTTTTCCTCCTCCTCCTCCTCCTCCTCATCCTTATCCCGTGTCTCTCCTTGACCAGCGGCAGCAACAGCATCTGCGCCGACCCCGCCTTGTCGCCAGAGGTGCCCGCGCCGCCCCGCGGGGCGCCCAGCGCACGACCACAGCGCCGACGCCGACGATGCCGCTGATGCCGACGACGCCGCCGACGGTGACGCCGACGCCGCCGCCGCCGACGACGCTGACGCCGACGCCGACGACGCCGACGATGTCGACGAGGCCGACGAAGACGACGCCGACGAGTAGGGGGGGAGAAGCCCAAGCTTCCCTTCGCCTGACAAGGATCACGCGCACTAGTTCTCACAATTTTCGCCCTCGGGGGGACCTCACGTGGCCCCGAGATGTCGTATCGTCTAAAAGCTGCTGGGGATGAACATCTGTGCCGGGGAAGTTTCGGGACCTCTTGGGGTCCTCGGACGGAAGACGCGACGTCGGATGTCTGGGGGGGGAGGACTGGGGCAAGCCAGGAAGAGATCCCCCCCCTGCCTCCTGCAAAGAGATGGGGGGGCGGGGAGGCGGAGGCGGAGGAGGAGCGACAGCGTGCGGGGGGGATGTCGGGGGAGGAGCAGGCACGGGAAGAGGAGGAGGAGGAGGGAGGGAAGGGGGAATGCGAGGGGAGGGGAGGGAGGAGGTTCGGGGGGGGGGATGGGCAGCAGCACGAGGGGAGGAGGAGGGGGAGGAGGAGCGCAGCGCCTCAGGCGAGGTCTCCCTTCGCGCGCCCGCGGCCGCGGGCGCGCGGCGAGCTGCCGCCTGGCGCCGCCGACTCACGGCGCGATGCCGTAAAAGAAGGCGACAAGGTAGAGGCCGAGCACCAGCGAGAGGTAGCCCAGCAGGTTGTTGCCGACGCCGACGACGTAGGTGCCAAGAAACAACCAGACGCATTGAAGCCGAGCGACAAGAAGTAGCCGCCCAGCAAGCCGAAGCCGACGCCAACGTAGAGGGAGTCGAGCCACAACCCAGGCACAAAAGTGTAACGAATCACCGACATAGTCGGATCATCGCGAGCACGGGCCCGATGAATTAATTGGCCCCGCAGCCCAGGCACCGCTGGGAGTCGGCGTGCTCGAGGCGCAAGTCCCCGCTCGACCCGCCCAATCGCATCCTGCTGATTGCGACGCGTGGACTCAGTCAGCGAGAGCCCCTCGCACTTCAAGCCGAGCTTGCGCGCGGTGCGGACATCCCCTGCGACGCAGTGCACCGCGGCAACTGCAGCAGTACACGGTGCCACCCTTGAAGACGTCGCACCCCGGCGCGGCAAAGGCGGCAGCGGCCTCCTCAGTCACTGCCACGTGCTGCGGCAGCGTCTCGGGGAGCATGGGCTGCGGGCCCCCATCGAAAGCAGCAGCCGCACCAAGCGCTATGCCGACCCTCTCGTCTCGGTAGTAGACCCAGCCGTCGCCGAAGTCGCGGAAATACTCGGCGTTGACGGCCACAGCCACGCGCGTGGGTCGGCAGACACGCAGTGACCCAGAACGTAGCGAGTCGAGCGAGGACCCCGTTGTGGCCGTCGCGCCGCACGAGGTGCATCGATACCGCCCAAGGTGCACATTGAAGGCTAGGACATGGTCCGTGCTTCTAGCCACCACAATGGGCTTGACCTGCTCGCTTGGCGGGTTGGGGATCTCCTCATCAATCCCCCATCGCTTGCGCACCGCCACCTGCAACGCCGCCCAGGAGATGAACTGCGGGACTTTGCGGTGCTGCTTAGGGGCCGCCGTGACAGCCTCGGCAACCAACCCAGCGAGGGCATGAGACGCCGCCCCGCATCTCGCAAAGTAGCCCGCTCATCCGTTGCCCAGCCAGTCTAGCAGCTCCAAAGGGCCCGCGTCGACCAGCTCATCCAGGGATATGTGAGCAGGCGTCCATCGGAACTTGGGAGGGTACGTCAAGGTACGCCTGCGGCTGGCTCCGAAGATGTTCCGCCACGCCCTGGCGTGTTTGGCGCGCCCCATCTCGAGCTCGGGGCACCGCCGCTCACCTTCCTGGGCAAGTGTCAGCAGGTCGGTGACGAAGCACTGAAGATCGGGGAATGCTCCGAGGCCTTCCTTGATAGCAGACCGCGCGGCACGGCCGACCGTTTGCACCAGGCACGGCAGGGGCCCATGGCGTGCTCTAGCTGGGAGCCACGATATTGGGTCGAACTGAACCACAGCCTGCCCACAGCGTCGTGCTTCAGGGACGCCTGAGTCGTATCCAGACCCGTCGGTGCATGAGATGGGACCCCACTGGCCGTGCGCGCCCCCTAGAAGTAACCCCCGCTCTTCCGCAGACATGGTTGCGGCAGGAAGGCAGGAGGTTCTGGCGCTCCGTTGACGAGGTAGGACTGCTCGAAGGTAGGCATGCCCGAGCCAAGACCCGTTTGGATAAGCTCACGCCCTCGTCGCTGCCGCTTGCCGCGCTCGGAACGTAGAGTATCCCCCACCTCGGCCGCCGCGCTGGACAGGTCGGTCAGCGCCGCAGTCGCGGCGTGGGAGGGTGCCTCACCACGTGCGGCCGGCAGCGCCTCCGTGTCGGAATGCCCGCGCAATCCTGCCTGCTCCTGGTGGTGCTGCACCATGTCAGGCGGTAGTTCGCCTGCGTCGCAAGCATCGCCATGGCCGGCTCCAGGAAAGAAATCGCCCTCATCCTCCATCGCGCTGGAGTGCCTGACGCAGATGGTTTGCGGCAGGGTCGGGTCGCCCAGATCCCCAAGGGGCGCGCTGCTGGACGCCCGCTGGTCCCCAAGCGTTGCGCTTGGAGGTCCGTCAACCCGACTCTCGAGGAGGCCGTGGACATGGTCCGTCGGCTCCAGCTCCAGATGCCGCTCCTGCTGTGAGGCATCGCTGGGCGTCAGCTGGCCCCCCAGCGTTGCGTTTCGATGTCCGCTACTCCCCGCAGAGCCCTGCGGGCACAAGGCCGCAGCAGGAAGACGAGTCAGCAGCGCGGGACACTCCAAGAGAACATTGCCCCAACAGTCGCCAGGCTCCAGGTTCTTCCCACAAGCCTGACAAGGGCGCATGGGCCTGCCAAGCTTCACGTCCCCGCGGATAGGCTCAGGGATGTTGTCAGACCACAGCGCCTGTAAGGCCCCCAACTGGCGCGCGACCCCGACCCCATTGACCGCGTGCCTGAGCCCACGATGCCAGATGGGGGCGCCCGCGTGGGAATACATGTGGCGGGCGAGGCGGCTGCGCGGCCACCTCTGCGCACCTGCCGCAAGGAACGGTCGAAGGTCAGCAAGGCAGACGCGGTAGAGGTCGTACTGGTTGCCGAGGTCGTCCTGCAAAACGTGCGGGGCCTTCATATCCCGCGCTAGGCGCTGCAGCGTTAGCCAGGTGGCCGCCAGTGGGCCTTTCGCATTGGCCCAACTGATAGGGACAGGTCGCTCATGGAGCGCCGTTGAAGGCCTTTGGAGTCGACTAGGGGAGGCGCGCCCATCCCACACCCAAGCAGCTTAGTTCAAGACATGGCCAATGGTGGCATGGTAGAAGGGGTCGTACTCGTCCGACGCGTGGGTGAGTAGGTACGCAGTGACGCCCACATGGTGTTTGTCACTTCTCCCATTCGGGACCGCTGCCAAATTGCGCATTTCCCTCGGGGGTGCGTCGGCCAACCCCGACACGCCAGCGCCGCGTCCCACCGACGGCATAACACCTGTGCGCCAGAGGGTAGAGGCCTTGCGCCCCACCGCTCTGCGCATCAGGAGGAGTCGGTGCTTGCGCTCCCGCATGTCACGCACGCGCTTTTGCTCAATCATTTGAAGCACGCGCGGCCCGCGCAGCTCGTGACCAAGGTTGCGCATGTGGCGGGCCTGCGGCACAGCTGGAGGCAACCACTGGTTGACCCTGCGCACAACAAGGCGGACCTGCGCCGATCCAGCCACCACCGCCGACTTGGCTGGTTGCAGGACACGCCCAAGGTCTCTCGCCTCCGCCGCGAACGCCACGCAATACGCAACAGCCGCTTGACATCGCCGAGGCCGGCATAGACCATCTGAAGTCCGATGTCACCGACCAGGGACCGCGGTTCGATCGTTGGCGCCACTGTGCTGGCCCTTTGCAACGCGCGGTAGGTGAGCACGTAGGTCAAGCAAGTAGCGCGCGTGCACCCAGCTAGCACACCTTGGAAGGCCACAACTGGACGCGATAGGCTGCCATAGGCCTTAATACGCCTCGGCTGCTGGTAGAGCTGCAGCAGCGTCCACAGAAGCCGCAGCGGGTAGCCCAACGCGCGCGCCTCACTCATCAGCGTGCGCGGGCTGACCATGTCGAAGCACTTCACCATGTCAAGAAGGATTGCGCAGGCGCGGTCACCTATGAGGCCCCCAACTTATTGCTCCAAGTTGTGAGCGGAGGCCGAAGCTGTGGAGGTGTGGCTACCTCGTGTGCTCCACATCTCGTTACCATGGTGCCGCTGCTGCCACGCTGCCGACAGCCCTCGTCGCGCTTTCGCCCACGCCCTTATGAGAGCGTGGCTGAGCACGATAAGCCTGCGACCACCGTCAGGCTTTGGTGGGCGCGCCATCTCGCTGCGCAGGCGGTCAGACGGAAACCTCAGATGCTGCTCGAAGATCTCGAACATTCTCGCCATCCACCTGAGAGCCTCATCCGACAGGCGCCCCAATGCCGTCGGGGGGATCCGAGTAGGCCCCGACGCCGTGGAGGCAGAGAAAGAACCGATGACTTGCCGTAGGTCATGGACCGTCAGGCTCGGCAGCGCATCCCACGAGTGCGAACCCATCGGGAAGCGCAACGCCTCTAACCCATGCGCCTCCCAGATCTTCTGCGACTCACACATGGTGCGGTCAGCTAGGATGTAAGGCTGGGCATTGGCCTCGGGGGCAACCAGCTCTTGGCGAGCCCGTGCCTTGGAGGCGGCGTGGGCTGCTCTCGCACCTCCGCCGAAAGCAGCATGGGCCCAGCTGCGCCACGCGCGCCCAGATTCTGAGCAAGCTGCCTTAGTGAGGTCCTCTGCACGGCCCACGATGGCGTCGACCATGTCATCAAAGTCCTCAGCGACCAACCCGTTGATACCACGCAGGAAGAATTCGCGGTGGCAGGGGTCAGTGTTCAG